ACATGAGCTGGATTTTGTAAAGATAGAAAGTAGCTGGAAGAAGTTGAAGGCAAGATTGCAAGCAGCAGGGCCAGTATCTGGAGACTTCATGACCCCTCCCCATGGTGAGAGGTTTAGCAAGGCCCACGGTGTGCACAGAAAAGCATCTACTTCTGCTTCACTGACTATGCCAAAGCCTTGACTGTGTGGATCACAACAAATTGTAGAAAATTCTTCAAGAGATGGGAATACCAGACCATCTTTCCTGCCTCCTGATAAATCTGTATGCAGGTGAAGAAGCAATAGTTAGGCTGGACATGGAACAACAGTTCAAAACTGGGAAAGGAGTGCATCAAGGCTGTATATTGTCACCCTGTTCATTTAAGTTATATGCAGAGTACATCATGAGAAATGCTGGGCTGGATGAAGCACAAGTTGGAATCAAGATTGCTGGGAGAAATATCAATAACCTCAGATATGCAGATGACACCACCCTTATGGCAGAAAGTGAAGAGAACCTAAAGAGCCTCTTTAAAAAAAAAAAAAAAAGATACACTATGGTTGTGATAAAAAAAATAAATAAATAAATTTAAAAAAAAAAAAGAAAGTGAAAGAGGAGAGTAAAAAAGCTGGCCTAAAACTCAACATTCAGAAAACAAAGATCATGGCATCTGGTCCCATCACTTCATGGCAAATAGATGGGGAAACAATGGAAACAGTGAGCTCTGTGGGGGTGAAAGCTCAGAGGAGACAAAAGAAGGAAAGGAAGGAAGGAAGGAAAGAAAGAGGAGAGAAAGGAAAAGAGGAAGTTTCTTTCTTAGGGTTTGTTAGGGAGGAAACAGTGATACATTTTCTCTTCTCAGTGGAGGGAATGCAGATCAGCACGTTTTCCTTTCCTGCTTGGGTCCCAGTCCGATCTCCTTAGAGTGGGAGGTACCATCCCCTAAAGAGCTGTTGTCTCTGCACCTGTGGATGCTGTGTGACTTCCTCCCCACTTCCCAGCTGTCCCCACCCTGTCTTGGGCCTCACGCATCTGCAGTGGCTCCCATGGTGGCCTTGCTGTCACCTCTGTCTGTCCAACCCTCTGACTCCTGCCCTGGGATTTGAACCCAGGCAGAAAAGCTCCAGAATGTTCATGCCTGGCAAGGAGGCTGCACTGTGTTCCAACTGTTCTGCAAACCTGGGATCATGTTGTTTTTTTTCCTGTTCTTTTCTTTCAATGTCCTATTGGAATGACTTCCCATAACATTAAATACAATTTTCAGGCAGTTGCTTGTGTGATCATCTGTCTATGCTGTGGACACTCTATGTTGAATTGACCTCGGGATGTCCCAGATATTCTCTTTTGTAGGAGACTCTGAGGACTTCATTCTTGCTCATTTATGTTGGTGGCTGCTTTTGACCATCACTTTAGCATAATTGTTAGTAGCAAAATTGCTGGGACAAAGGCCATATGTATATTCAGGACAAAACATCTCCAGAAAAATTGAGCAAAGTTACACTCTTAAAGAAGTGTTCCAGACCTATCTTTTTGCTATTTTTTTCCACTGTTTCTCTCACCTAAGGTATACATCTCTTTGATCTACAATTTGTAAAGGATAAAAGTGGAGGATGGGGTAAGCTTATTGCTTTGAAGATCAGAATTTATCCTCATGTTGGTGGCACAGGCTACAAACATAGAGCCTCAAGAACAGGAGGGGCTTCCCTGGTAGCTCAGCTGGTAAAGAATCTGCCTGCAATGCAGGAGACCTAGCTTCAATCCCTGGGTTGGGAAGATCCCCTGTAGAATGGAACAGCTGCCCACTCCAGTATTCTGGGCCAGAGAATTCCATGAGTGTATAGTCCATGGGGTTGCAAAGAGTCGGATCCAACTAAACAATTTTCACTTTCACTTTTCAAGAACAGGAGTCTCCTTAACAGACACCAGCTCCAGCCCCAGCTTTAGGAGAGCCCCAGCTGATCAGTCCCAGCTGATCTAGAGGGGCAAAGCCTGACCTTTTCCAGTTCATATTATGGCAGTAGCTGTGCTGAGACCATGCGTGTCTCCCAACATGGATGCACCAATGTGTTCTATTGGAAGTATCTATAAATGTACCCATTCATTTAGTCAGCATGTATTACTTGTGGGACTATTATGTGCCTGTCTCCAGTATGGATGAAATAAGATCGGAGGAGACTTCTTTCATCTGTACAATGGGGGACATGTCTTGCCAGGCTTGTGTGGAGACAGCAAGATTGCATATGTAATTGACCAGAGCTGTGCTTCTTACACTTACTGGTGATTTCTTACCAACAGAATCATGGCTTATGTTTCTATGAAGACTACTTGGAAAATGAGTTTGAGAGACTGTTCCCTTGAGTCTCCATTTCACTCAGTTCATGATATTTACTGTCAAGGGGATCATAATCCAGTGTCATCTAAAGGGGCCAGGCACAGGCAACCTTGGACACAGGGCTGTTCTGCACAGAGATGACAACCGCAAGGTAGACGGGTGTGTTTCAGGGTTTGATGAGAAGCCTGAAGTCAATGACCCTCCACTTGCCCTCTGCCAGCCTTTCCATGTCTCCCTGAAAGGAAGCTCTTCACTCCTTGGCCTCTTACCCACAGCTCTGCCGTTTTCTCCATCTGGCCCTCCCCAGTGAGAGTTGTCTCTTTATCTGTCTCCATGACTTGGTGGTGGGTTCCAGCCCATCCCTCTCCCCTGGGGTCCACCGCAGCACCTGGCACATATAGCTGCTCAGTAAATTTGTAGTGAATGAAAGATGAGGAAGAGATGAGGAATACGTCTCTTTGACTGATGCTTGTCTTATAGAGGAAAGGCCCATACTGAGAGGGTAACAGGTAGGAAGGCCAGAGGACCCCAAGTGGCAGAAGGAAATCATAACCTGCAAGTGGCAGATGTTTTTCCCTTCTCAGCACAAAATTCAAAGAGTCTTCTTTAAATTCTGTGTTGATGACGCCTGGTTCTACCTTGAACTAACCAATGTGTTTTTCTTATGGAAGTATTTTTTTCCCAAGCTATGTTAATGAAACTATGTATTTGCTTTGGAATCTGTCTTTCTTTAAAATGGTTCCACCTAAGACTAATTTTCTTTTTCTTTTCTCTAACCTTGGGCTGTAAATGGCTCATCCAACTAGTATTCCTGTTAATTGTTTTATGGCCAGAGGATGTCTCAAAAATGCGTATTGTGGGAGAAGGGCATGTGAAGCTCCCTCAGCGCTGAGGTGTCTGTTATCTGGTTAATAGCTTTCCAACAGACATAAGACACCTCGTTAAAAACTAGCAAGGGGGCACTCTTTCTGTCCCCTTCTGATGTCTATGTCAGAAGCTTTCCTTATCTCTACTATGCTTTAATAAAATTTTTCTACACAAAAAGCTCAAGTAATCAAGCCATGTCTCTGACCCCAGATCAAAATCCTCTCCTCCAGAGGTCACAAATCCCAGTGTAACACACAGCTCACAGCAGCAACCTTTCAATACAATGCACTGAGTTGGGTCTGTTTTCCACGTTACTTATTTTTTTGTTGTTCGTTTTTTCTCTTATCTTTTCTCTGCCTCTGACCCTGGTGTCCCCATCAAGGCCTCTGCCTCAGGTCTCCAGGTGAGAGAAAGTGATGCTTCCACTCTTATAGTGTCAATCCATGGCAACTCGAACCAAATGGTTTAGAGCTCTACCCTTGAAGGAAGTCAGAAAGGCTGACGGCTCTGTGCACCTTGGGTCCCCCATTATATGAGTGGCGTCCTCCCCAGCAGCACTGGAGGCCAGTGGAAGGGTCCTGCTGGACCCCAGAGGAGGGGAATGGCTCAAAGATCCACACAGGCCTGAAACTTGGGAAGTGGGACTGGAAAGGACACAGCAGGTATGGGTTGTAGAGAGCTGGTGACTGGGGTGGGAGGAGGAAAGGAAACCATCTCAACTTGAAGGACTTCACCGAGATCCCCCTGGAGCAGAAAGCTACTGCCAGTGTTCCTCTGAGATGGGGAGGATAGAAGCTATTTTTTTTTTAACCCCTTACCATCCCTCTGAAAGGGGGCTTCCCAGATGGCTCAGAGTTAAGAATCTTGCTCCCAGTGCAGGAGGCTTGAGTTCAATCCCTGGGTTGGGAAGTTCCCCTGAGAAGGAAATGGCTACCCACTCCAGTATTCTTGCCTGCAAATCCTATGGACTGAGGAGCCTGGGGGCTACAGTCCATGGGGTTGTATAGAGTCAGATATGACTGAGTGTGCAGGCACTGTAACCCTATCCATCTGGATGGGAAGTGGTGGGGTTGGTGTTGCGGTCATAAACTCTTCACTTCTTTGGGGCTGCCTTTCCCCGGTTTCAACTATGTGGTTCTGGAGGAACCGGTCAAGCACACATAACCATCACAGGCAGGGCCAGGTGATGAATTAAACCAGCTATAGGACTCCATGCCCCTGCCAGGATGCTTGGTCCAGGACTGGACACATGATCAGATGTGGTCCCTTCAAAGCACTCCCTTGAACCTGATGTCTTCTGAGCTTCTTTCCTTACTGGTTAGTTGCTTTAGAGAGATAAAGGCGTGAGGCAGGCAGCTTGAAACTCTCACTAGGTGTAGAAACCTGAGGGAAGAAAGCTGTCAGGCTAAGAGAATCAAAGAAGAGAGAAGGGGAAGTGTGAGGGTGTCAAAGAGTGAGCTGATGGCTTCTGATTTCTTGGGTACAGTCCCTGAGATTTTTGGATCTGCTCCAGTTCCTGCATCCCAGATCCCCGGTGTCTTTTCAATAAGTCTCTCCTCTCTTGAAGCCAGTTGGAGTTGGCATCCTTTTACTTGTGGTTCAGACTTGATTCTAGATCCTTCCCAGTTTTGATGCACCTCCCCAACCCAAACAGAAGCAGCCATTTGTATTAGCTCTATTGAGATGAAATCCTTTATTCTTTTCTGAGGACAGGGCTTGCATAGCACCAAACACAGTTCACCAGCATCCCTGGGCGGGAGTGCCCTACGTGTGAAGGTGTCTTTGGAGTGGGCCTGAGTGATTCCTGAAGCAGCCCAGCATTTACACTGAGGGAGACAGGCCAATCCTGTTGTTTCCCCGATCAAAAACTGTGAAATATGCTCTCAGGAAGATGTCCCCCAGGACCCAGGTCTCTGAGGGGCTCATGTTTTCTGTGCCCCCATTAAAGGTTATAAAGCAGATGTCTTCAGAAACCTAGGGGAGACAAAAATGCACACCAGTCAGCATGAGCACTTACCTGCCACCCCCCTCAATATCCAGAGCAGAGAGCTTTTCCATTTTTTCCCGTTTGGGAAGAATCAAGTGGCTCTCACAGCAGCTGCAGAAGTGAGGGTATAGGAACAAGAAGGGCCAAAACATGTGGTTGCCATGACAGAAGGGTGTGGGGAGGGGAGGATTGGGAGTTTGGGATTATCAGATATAAACTAATATATAGAGACTGTAAAACAACAAAGTTCTACTGTATAGCACAGGTGACTGCATTCAGTATCCCATGATAAACTGTAATAGAAAAGAATATGAAAAAGAGTAGGCATATATATATATGTATATATATATATATATATATATATATATATATATATATATAACTGAATGACTTAGGTTTAGAGCAGAAATTAACACAACACTGTAAGTCAGCTCTACTTCAAAGTACTTTTTTTTTTTTAAAGAAAAAGAATGGCCCATAGCTCCCCATCACACTCTGCTGTTTCTTTCCTTCTGACTCCTGCCCTCTTTTTTCCTCCACAGGGAATACCTATTCTTCTCCCCATTGCCCACAACCCATTCTTTTTCTAAAAAAAATTTAAATTTTGTATTGAAGGATAGCCAATTAACAGCATTGTGATAGTTTCAGGTGGACAGCAATGGGACTCAGCCATACATATACATGTCCCCACTCTCCCCCAAACTCCCCTTCCGTCCAGGCTGCCACCTAACACTGAGCAGAGCTCCTTGTGCTACATAGTAGGTTGTTGTTGGTTACCCATTGTAAATAATATTGTCACAATGCATTCTTCCTACTGCGCTCAGGCCATCTAGGAAAACTTTGTGGTCCTACACTCACATCATTTGGTCACTCCAGTCTGGGTTGGGTGACTTACCCTGGTGCTCTCTTGGTCTGTAGCCCTCCTCACCCCTAATCTGCCCCCGGACCCCTTTGCACAGCCCCTGTGGGTACCGTAGAATCTATTATAGATTTGCCTCAACACAAGCAGGCTTCCTCATTCCTTCATGAGGCTGGGGGTTTAGAATTACTGCAATTCCCTTTCTTCAAAGCCTCCTTTGAGCCCATCAGCCTGCTCTGAACTCCCACAGGGAGCTGACATGAAGCCTCCACCCTGTGCCGGGCTGAGCAGCCACTGTGCTCCTTTATTCACCTTAGCATCCAACTTCCCCACAGAGGGGTCGGTACCGCAACTCGCAGAGTGCGATGTTGTAGCCAAGTTCTAGCATAAGCATGTAATTTATGATCTCAATCTGGACACTTCCGTGTTGGGAAGGGGAGACTGTTAACCCCTATGGTGGGACAGCACAACAGGACTGTCCTCAGCCAACCCACCTTGTCACTTGTTCTATTCCAGGGATTGCTAGAGCTGACTTTCCGCGTTCATGCATCTGAGGTCTCTGGTTGAACTGAAGCTCTGGGAAACCTGAGACCCTTAGTGTTCCCCTCTCCTTGTGACTCCCACCACGCCAGCACGGGGTGGGGTCTCCACGGTTATTGCAGGAGGAGGGATGTCCCAGACCGCCCTTCACTCTCACGTGGTTGGTTTTGTGGGAGGCGCTGGCCCAGCCACAGGGGCTCAGCAGCATCTGAGGTGCAGCAATGTTGTGACCAGGCCTGCAGAGGGCGCCCTCCTCCCAGCAAGAACCCAAGGGTTCCTGTAAGTCTGAGATTTGGGAACCAGCCCCCAAGGTCGCCCCCTTACCTTCTGGATGTAGTATTTACGGGACAGTGGGAAGTTCATGCCATTGATGGTGAAGATAACAGGAGGCAGGGTCATGGTACGGTTACATGAAATCAATCGCTGTAAAAGAAAGCAGAAGAGAGGTTGATCCAGGTGTTCCTTGGTGTGTGGGGACCCCAAGAATGACTCTGTGGCATGACCCTTCACCTGCTCATTCTGGAGGGGGCTGGGGTTGATGCTCCTCTGGATGCTTCTGACTATGTCAGTTGGGCCAAACAAATATGAGCTCCCGATATCCAAAATGGCCTGACATCCGCCGGAACAAGCAATCACTTTTCTATTCATGGAGATGCTGAAAGACGGAGGGACAAAGCGGGCACTAGGATCACTCTGGAGACCCCCGTATCACTATCCCTTCCCTGACTCTCTCCTGAAGAGCTCTTCAGCTCTTGCCCTGACTCTGTTTTTCTTTTCTCTGGTCACATCATCTTTTTAACTTCCTTTCAGTTCTTACAGGCACCAGGCTCAGGGCCTGGGCTTGTGCTGGCGAGCTTCCTAGAACCTCATCCCCTTTGTTTAGCAAATTTCTCTTTATCTTCCAGGCTAATGGTCACTATGTCAGGAAAGTCTTCCTCGCCAGAGTAGATAAGGCTCCTGTCGTTCTCAGACTCTGTAGACTCTTCCTCATGTCTAGCATGTACCAAGGTGGTAATTCACTGTGTGTGAACTTCATTTCATGTTGTTTCACCTATGTCTGCCTCACTAGATGTGAGGGCAAGTTGGATCCTCAGTGCCTCCCTCAAGTGCCCAGCACACAAGCAATGTACAATGTATGATTGTTGAATGAATGAATGAGCGGTAGTCGGGGAGACACAGGCTGCCTTGGGAGAGTTTGTCTCCCAGCACTGCCCCCTCACCCGACTCAGACCCTGAGGCCCCCTGCCAGGGGAGCATGAGCAGACTCAGGGGCCTCCAAAGAGCAGGTGAGCTTTGGCCTGAGGCTATCACAGAGAATCCCATCAATTCTCACCCCTTGTTCTCAGGCCACACCTGGATCCCAGCTTCCTGATTCAGGCACAGCCCCTGCCCCGCTGTGTGCCCGGCTTGGGCGGCAAGTAGCACTGGTTAGGTGGGGTGTCTCTTTTTATGCGTTGCTCTCAGGTCTCAAGACTGCAGCCAGACTCTCTCCACTGTTGTGTAACTTCTCTCTGAGAAGACCAGATTTCTCAGTTTTTCAGGACTTTCTCAGCTTTTCAACTGGCAATTCTGTGTCCTGAGAACACCCTAGGTCCTGGGTGGCCCTGGTCAGTAGGTCATCTTAACACAATCCTGTTCAGGTTGGTGAAATTCCCCCTGATTCTCTTTTCACCATACTATAGGTTCCTTTAACCAGGCTCCCCACCTCACAGCACAGGAATGCAGCTCTCCCTGAGCTGCCCAGGCCTCTCTGGACCCTTTCAGGACCCTGGTCAGAGGCCTGGACAGCAGCTCTGGGGCAATTATGAAACCATGGGTGGTGTGTGTTCCTGTGTGCATATTTGCATACATGTGTGTGTCTCTGTGTGTTTATATGTTTGCCTCTGTATGTGTTTATATGTGTCTCTGTATCTGTTTTTATGTGTGTGTGTGGAGCGTATGTCTGTGTGTGACTGTGTGTGCATTTGTGTGTGTATGAAAAGGAGTACATCAGGGCTGTATATTGTCACCCTGCTTATTTAACTTACATGCAGAGTGCATCATGAGAAACGCTGGGCTGGAGGAAGCACAAGCTAGAATCAAGATTGCTGGGAGAAATATCAATAACCTCAGATATGCAGATGATACCACCCTTATGGCAGAAAATGAAGAACTAAAGAGCCTCTTGATGAAAGTGAAAGAGGAGAGTGAAAAAGTTGGCTTAAAGCTTAACATTCAGAAAACTAAGATCATGGCATCTGGTCCCATCACTTCATGGCAAATAGGTGGGGAAACATTGGAAACAGTGAGACTTTATTTTCTTGGGCTCCAAAATCACTGCAGATGGTGACTGCAGCCATGAAATTAAGAGATGCTTACTCCTTGGAAGGAAAGTTATGACTAACCTAGATAGCATATTAAGAAGCAGAGACATTACTTTGCTGACAAAGGTCCGTCTAGTCAAGGCTATGGTTTTTCCAGTAGTCATGTATGGATGTGAGAGTTGGACTATAAAGAAAGCTGAGCACCAAAGAATATATGCTTTTGAATTGTGGTGTTGGAGGAGACTCTTGAGAGTCCCTTGGACTGCAAGGAGATCCAACCAGTCCATCCTAAAGGAGATCAGTCCTGGGTGTTCATTGGAAGGACTGATGTTGAAGCTGAAACTTACTCCAATACTTTGGCCACCTGATGTGAAGAGCTGACTCATTTGAAAAGACCCTGATGCTGGGAAAGATTGAGGGCAGGAGGAGAAGGGGATGACAGAGGATGAGATGGTTGGATGGCATCACAAACTCAATGGACATTAGTTTGGGTAAACTCTTGGAGTTGGTGATGGACTGGGAGGCCTGGCATGCTGCGATTCATGGGGTCACAAAGAGTCAGACACGACTGAGCGACTGAACTGAACTGAATTGTATGTGTCCATGTGCATGTGTGGCAGCATCATTTGGGGTGGCCCTCAGAGGGGCAGGCTTACCGGTCCACAGTTATCTGCCATAAGCCGGCTTGGGTAACTGGTACCCACTTGAGAGCTCCCTTGTGGTAGGCATGGTCCACCCCACCAAGCATCAGCAAGCTGCTCTTCTGCGGCCAGCTGAAGAGAGGAGGAAGAAGGAGCTCATTGGAGGAGGGTAACACCAGCCACTGTCTGAGGGCTGCGCTTCTTCACCCGTCAGAGGCACTACTATGGTCTCCATTTTACACATGTGGAAACGGATGCTTGGAGAGCTTGCGTACCTGACCAGGGTCAGTCCCTATCTAATGAGTGTCACAGAAGAGGTTCGAAGCTGGGCAGCCTGGCTCCAACCAGGCCTGGCTCCGACCACCCATCCTTCTGAAGAGGGCCTGGACTTTTCCAGCCACCTGAATGCTCAGATACAACCTCAGAGGACTCTATGCTGGAGGGGTCAGGCTTCCTCCTTGTCTAGCCTGTCATTTTTCAGGAAAGCTGATGTCTGAGGGAGCTAAGAACATGGGTTCAGGCTCACCCAGGGTTGGCTCTTCTTGCCTGTGACCTGTGCTGTCCATGGGACTTCAAGCTGAGCAGGCCACCCACCTCCACTCTCCCTGTCTTGAAATCCCTAATGTGTTTCGAACAAGGGGTTTCACATTTTCATTTTGTGCTGGCTCTTGCAAATTCTGTAGCTTGTCCTGGGTTCCCAGTGAAATGTTAATGAGAAAGGAAACATTCCAGGCATCCTTCTCCTTCCATCCTTATCAAATTCATTAGCAAATCCTGTTGCCTTTTCCTCCAATATCCTGAAACCTTCTACTACTTTCCCTATTACCTCCACCTCCCTGAACAAAACTGCACCCTTGGACTCATGAGCATGGTTGTGTTCCAATGAAACTGTATTGATAAAAACCCAGTGACAGGGCCAGATGTGATCCTGGGGCCATAGTTCTCCTAGGCTAGACCATCTCACAGGAATATTCTGGATGAGGTAGTCTTTAATTTTTCATGCAACTGAAAGCATCTTATAGTTAATTTGGAGAGAGGACTTGTCCAGCTCAGACTTACCTGCTTATGAAAAAGGCAAAGACAGGCTCAGAAATGATTCCGTTTTTATTCAGGCTGTCGAAGATGGGGGTGGTCCCTTGGATGGCGAGGCTGGGGTAGGCTAAGCCCATGATGCCATCATAAGGTGCTTGTTCCAAGGCCCCACTGAGCTTATTCATGCTGAGGACAAATGTCTGTGACTTGGCAATAAGTCGCCCGATCTGTGAGAGAGGAGAGTGTGCCCACGTAAAATTTGGGAAGTGGGACTAGAACTGGGCTGTGGGACTGTAGATGCCATTAGCACTCTAGAGAACTGAATCATCAGTTGATCTCAGATGGGGACATCAAGCTGGGACAGGAATTTGGGTTCCGTTTGTGTGGGGCCATGCATCTTAGCAATGCCTGCTTATCCTGCAAACACCATCTGAGTAAGTCAAATTGGTCTCATGTCTTCTGTACAGGTGGGGCAACCAAACTCAGGGAAGGACTGAATGGTTCCCCTCTGAGGATGCAATGAATAGAGAGCAGAATAGTCTTCTCTTTGGCAACACTATGATCTGATGACAAACATGAACTGAATTCATTGCAATGCATTGTGGATCCTGCGTCTGCCCAGGAAGACAGAAGCCCATTGTACAATGTCTTTGGCTGGGTTCTAATGAACATTCTTCTTGGATATCAGGCTTTTGGGGATATGCACACTTGTGTGTGAGTGCCTGTGTGTGTGTGAGACAGAGGGAGACATAGGCCCAGACAGAGAAACACAGGGGGAGCATACTCAGGCACTGTGTGTGTGTGTGGGGGGGGGCAGGACATAGTTTTTGTTAGTCTCAAAGGCCCCCTAGAGTGAGAACCCTTTTATCAGTCTCATCTTACACCTGTGACCCCTGATTTCCCTGCCTGGATACCTGAAGCCCTGTGCTGCCCCAAGGGCCCCAGATCAGCTTTATCGTTTCCCAAAATCCCACACTTACTTGCATCTTGAAGGACAGCCAAGCTCCAACTTAAAAAATACATGAGCCCGGCAAGGCCCTCACTCTCTACACCTCATGTGCCTCGTCTTTATCCTGAGCTAATAATAGTACCTCCTGCCTGGAGATGTTGCAAGATAAAACAAGTTATTACCATGAAAGTGCCCTGCAGAGCCTGTGAATATAAAAGGGGGTGCTTCATTCCCCCTTCTTCCTACTCCAGCAAAACGCACCTTGGGTAATGGAGATGTGGGTCCACCCCCAAGCCCCTCTCTGGGGTTCATTGTTTTGGGAGTTTGTGTGTCAGCAGGGGCGCTGTCTCCCCAGGGACAGGGCCCTGCTGGGCATGTGGCCAGCCACGAGGGGACTTTCAGAAAGACAGTCCCTCCCAGCTGCATCTATTTTACAGGCAGTGGTTGCTCCCAGGACCAGACCTGCCTGAGCCCCTGGTTCCCACATTACCCGAACTG